CAATCAAGGAACATTTTTTGTGACGGTGGAACCAAAATATTTTCAAATTCAGGCATAAAAAACATCATTTACTGATACAAGTTGATTTTCTATGTATTTCACATAGTTTGTTCTTATTAAGAACGCCGTTCCTAATAAGAACAAAAAGATATTTTCCAAAAATTTAACATCTTAATCATTATAAGTGACGAAAACTTACACCAGGAAATACATTTTCCTTAATTGATAAGAAACATATTTTGTTCCACAAGTATATCGAAATTTTGAATCTTAGGCAGTGAAATCAATGATTTATTGATTTTTTTCAATTTCAACTGATTCTTTGTTACCTGTTCTCACTAGCCACATTTTTTTTGTTACTGCTCGTAGTAGAAACCATGCTCCTAATAAAAATCTATTCAACTATTTTTAGTTTACCACTAATTACCAATCTATTTTTCGAGACAAGTAACGTTCGTCGGTTCGACTCACTTCACCCTCGACTGTATCAGACAGAATTATACAAGTCTCATCCATGGACACCCAGTTATGAAACAGCTGATTAAGGGAGAACTTATCACATATGTCGGATTGACTGAATTTTCAGTCTGAAAAATTGAATTGGTTGAAAGTTCAACATTAAAAGCACGAGAATCGAACACTTAGCCAACGTTTTTTATGACATTTCACCTTTCACTCTGACTAAAACAGACGAAAATTTATTTTACTTCATATAACCCTTCCTACACTCGAGAAAACATTATTTTCTCAAAAAAACCTTTTCTCCTAAACCAAAAAAATTCAATTCAAAACTTTCAGAAACTAGCTTTAGATTCAGATTCTCTGACCTTGATTTACTTTCGTCAACCTTTATAAAATGTCGTTATTTTCTCAAAAAAACCTTTTCCTCAACCAAAAAACTGAATTTAAAATATTGAAAAACTAACTGCAGATTCAGATTTCCCTATCCCAATTTACAACTGACACATTCATCTTTAAGCCGATGTTCTTTTAACCCTGATGTTCTTTTGACCCGGCGACAAGACGACAAACTATTTTATTTCATATGACCCTCCCTTCAGTCGAGGAAATAATTAAATAATTTTTGCATCGTTCGATGCAGAAAATATTTCTCCACTTTAAAGTCTAATACTATCTACACATTTATTTAAAATGCTTTAGTAAAACCCAAAATTCATTTCACATCTTAAATAACCGTTCTTATCAGAAACATCGACTGTAGAAAACTTTCTATTTCAACCTTTTTCATATAAATGAAACTTCGAATGGATTTTTTTATTTCAATTTTATTTGCTAAATTTTCGGTTTTTTCTTACCATCATCAGAAACATGTAGAAAATTTCTTGATGCAGACACGGCGTAATTTAATTTGTAGATCATTACCATTTAGAATAAGTTTAAGATATGTATCATGCTTTGTTTTGTTCTCACATATTTATTCTGATAAGATACTGCGTTGTTATGTGTTGGATACATGTAATAGGTTTTGCTTTGTCAGATGCTATTTTGAATTCTATAATAATCTGAAAGAAAAACAGAGAAATGAAATAGAGGCGTTCGAAAAATTGTGAGTACTAAATCTTTAAATGTGTTGCATATTGAAAGTTCAAGCTGGCGAGATAAATTTATTCACATTTGATGTGTAATTTTTCTTAAGTGATCGATGACGAGTTTTTTTTCTGAGTGAATTTGAACTTTGTTTTTATTTATATATCTAACTGTTCGTGCTTTTGGTGATTTCAACGTTTCTGCTGGAGATGTTTAGCAGATTGTGATTTATCAAAAAATTGTCTTTTTGTTCTCAGTGAAAAATATCCGAAAGAAAATTATGATTATTTTTGATTAACGGTGTAAAATTTTCAATTTTTCTATGAACTTCGAATTTTTCCAGAAAAATCCGGTTAAAGTTGAGTACAACTTGTAAATCTTTTGGAACAATAATCTGCTTCACTGATTGATCTTGAACAGCTTAGTGGTAATCGGATTTTCATTGACGATCGATTTTAATTGATATTATTGCACCATTGCAACTTGAAACAATATAATAGATGTAGCAGTTTCAACTTGCCTTAATTTGTCCGAGTTTAGCTTTGTAACAACTCCGTCGTTTCTACACACGAGCCATTTAAAGCAATCCTGAAACATTGAAGTATCGTGTTCAGATATCAAGACAAGCGTTGACAGTTG